ATAGGATAGAGGAGAGGAGAGGAACAAGAGTGCTAGTGAGGAGTTCGAAACGATTAATAGTGACAGTAGTTGGGGGTGACGTAACAGTCATATGTGTTTGTGTATGTATGTGTGCATGTGTTTGTGTATGGGTGTGTGTGTATGTGTGCGTGTGTGTATGTCGGTATCAGTGTATAAGAAATGCATATGTTTTACTCCAAAACTGCATGCGCAGGAAGGTTTGAATCCGTGAAACAGGCGAGCTTGAAATTTAACACGCGTAATTTCTACAGAAATTATCGCAGAAAGTTCATCCCGAAGTTGACTTTCATTCCGATAGTGTTATTGCTCAGAGCCAAAAACAAAAATATGTTTTCCCAGTAAGAGCGGTTTCCCAATAAAAAGCATAAAAAACAGCTGTTGCTGGATCGGCTGGGGCTAGTTTTGGTACCTTTGTGCAGTAGAATCTGTCGGAATAGTGCTGATTTTTTTAGCTGGGCTCAACGAGTATTGGTATTCGCACAACAGAAGGAGTGGTTCTGGCAGCTGAAAAACGGGCCACCTCGAAGCTGATGGTCAACGATGGCACCGAAAAGATCTCGAAGGTCGATTCGCATGTTGGCAAGTTGTTATTGGTGTTGTTTGATTGTGTAAAAACAACTTTGGAAATCAGACAAAAATCTTTGAATATGAACATTGAACAAAAAAAAAACCCCCCAGACAAACATTGTACGCTTGCGTCTTTGAACATTTTCGAAAAAAAAAAGACATTCTCTTTTCGAAGCGATACATATTGACTGAGTGAATCTTTGTTGCAGCGGTTACATTTGCCGGCCTAATTGCTGATTCGAGGACACTGGTGGAACGAGCGCAATTGGAAGCGCAGAATTTCTGGTTCACTTACAATCAGAAAATGCGTGTCGAGGATGTGACAATGTCTGTTGCAAATTTAGCACTACAGTTTGGTGATGATGATGCCAAGGTTTGTTGCTGCTGCTGCTATTCGGCGCTAACATCATCATTTTTTGTTTGTGAAGCTTAATTCGTATTAGCACTTCATCACTGCTGCTCAGAACAACGCTGTCCAGTTGAGAGCCAGTTGAAATTCAATCTTAAAATAGGCTGTGGAAATTCAGACTGTAAAATTGTGCATTAAGTAATAGCATCACTTCTGCTCAGTTTACAGGCATCGATGTCGCGGCC